CCTGCCAGCCCAAGCAGCCCTGAGCATTATTCATTAAATCAATCCTGTTAACATGGCAACCACTTCCATTTTAATCTGCACGGCCGTGTTCCACCACGTGCTGCAAGATCAAGATCTCGGGAAGATCAGAGAGAGGGAAAAAAAGAGAATGAAAGGAAAAAAGAAGAGTAAAGAGCCCCCCTGCCACAGACCGATTCCCTGGCAGTCCCTGAGCCGGGCCCAGGGCAGGGTCTCAGCACATCAGAGCCCACCACAACCAGAGCCGGGTTGGAGCAACCGCCCTCGAGGTGGGAGAGGATGAGGGGCTGGGCAGGGGGGACCCAGGACCACAGGGGCATCTCAGCTGGGTGCGTCCCCCACCCTCAGGCATCAACATCCTGCCAGGGAACGCAGCCACCCCGGTGTCAGAAAAGCGAGCAGGTCCAAGGGGATGGCTGGGACCTCATCCCCACCCCAACACTTCTCACTTAGCGTTTCTTCCCCCCTTTCTTCTTTTTCTCCTTGCTCTTCGCCTCCTCAGATGCTCTCTTCTCCTCCCTGAGCTCCTTGTACCTCCACTTGGGCAGCTGCAGCAGGTTCTTGTCCTCCCTGTGCTGCCTCCGCTCCCTCGAGCAGGCAGGCAGGTAGGAGGCTTTGTTGACTTTGATTTTTGGGATGGGCTCTCCGGGGAAGATGATGTTCCTGCTCCACAGCCGCAGGGGCAGGAAGCTCAGGAAGCCACCGGCGGGCCGGCGTGGCGACAGGAGACGGATCTCTGACACAGCTTGGCCATTGCAAGAGGATGCACCGGTGCCAGGGCATGGGGTGGGTTCAGGCGCAGCATCCGGATCCGGCACGTGCTGCCCAAGGATCTCTGGCACGGACAGCCTGCGCTTGCCCACCTCGGGAGGGCTCTCCGGGCAGATGGTTTGGCAAGCGGTAGCCACGAAGGGGCTAGCGAGGGAGGTGGTCATCCTCACCATGTGGTCCATCACACCATCCTCCTCAGGGTCATGGGGGAAGTTGAAGGTGCACATGGATCGGATCTTCTCCATCAGCCTCTTACTCCTGGATTTGGGGCTCAGGGCCTTGGCCACCAGCTCAGCCAGGGCCGGCCACTCGGGCTGGTACTGTGTGCTGAACTGCTCTGCCCGTGGGCGCCGCAGGAGGCTCCGGATCCGCACGATCGTCTCGAAGCGTCCGGTGAAGGCTGCCCACTCCCTGGCTGTCTTCCCCTTGACAGGATCCATCATATGCAGGTCTGCTCCTGGAGACACCGGGATGCAGAGTGCATCACCACAGCATCCCATCCTGTCCCACCCCAGAGCGCAGGGTGCGAGCACAAGGGGAGCGGCAATGTCACCCCTTCCCAAAAATATCCCAGGAAGTCCCTGGGGAGAGGCTCACCAGCCAGGAGCAGGGTGGCCACGCAGTCCTGCTGCCCCTGCACCGCAGCCTTCATCAGCGCCGTCAGGCCTCGGGGGTCCCGCTTGTCCACCTCGAGCGCGGGGTAGTAGTTGAGGAGGTAGTTGACGATGGTGATGTGTCCTTAAAGCCAGAGAGAAGCTGTGTTAGAGTTTCAGCAGTTAACGAGTGGTTACCCTAATGCTCGTTGGAGAACGTGTTTAGCAACTGCATCTTGAGAGGACCAAGATGCAGAAACTTGGAGGGAATGGGGCCAAAATGGTTTGGGTTTATTTTGGGCTCAGTTGTGCAGGGAATAGTGCTGGGACACGAGCTGCTTCAGCAGGGAATGCAGGAAAGGGTCCAAAAACGCCTACCTGCCTGGGCTGCCATCATGAGGGCCGTGTTCCCGTCCTTGTCCTGCTGGTTGACATTTATGTAGGGGCACTTTTGCAGCAGCGGCACGATGTCCACGAAGCCCTTGTAGCAAGCGACCATCAGCCCGTTCTGCAGAGGGGGTGACACTCAGGGCTGGGACCGGCACTGCACCATCCTTCCCAGTGCTGTGCTCCCCATGGCCTCGACTTTCCTCCTCAACACTCCAAACCATTCTCCTGGTCCCCCTCCCAGTCCAGATAGGCTCAGACTAGGAGGATGGACAAGGTTCTGCTCTGAGGATTGGATCAATCCCAGGAGATCCATCCCTTGTCAAAGCCACCCCACGCTGGACTCTCCCTCCTGCTCCATCTGTTTGAGCAGCCACCATGCTTCACCCTATTCCTGGGAAATCCTCTTTCAGCTCCGCAGGGTGCCCACCCAGCCACTCACCCGCCCGTTGATGTCCAGCTCCGCGGCCTCACTCCAGGTCACCCCACGCTCCAGCCTCTCCTGCACCAGCTTGGCATCATTCCTGGCACAGCACTGGTAGAGGCTGAGGTCCCCAGCGCTGCCACCCCCCAGGGAGGGCTCGTAGCAAGGGTAGACAGAGTCATCGGAGAAGATGCTGCTGGTGTCCGAGGGTTCCAACTCCTCCTCCTCCTCCTCCTCCTCCTCCTCATAGTGCAGCTCCGGGTCGGAGGCATCCAGGCTGGAAGTGGGGGCTGCAGCATGTTCTCCTCCACCACAGGCATCTGTCATCCGGCCCGGCCAGGAGGAGCAAGCCCAGCTTGGCCCCCAGACCTTCCTGGGGCCAGGAGCTTCTCCTGGGGATGAGGGGGTACTCGGAACCGATCACTCTCCCCTGTGTGGGCACAGAGCAGGCAGGGGAACCATGGGGGCTCCAGAATCCCTCTGTCATGCCAAGCAATAGCAGGAAAGGCACATCTCCATCCCTGCCCATGCCGCACGGCCGGCGTCACATCCCAGCCGTCCCCACCTTGCTGGGGCACGTCAAAGTGGCTGCAAAGACCTTTCCTAGCAGCAGGGCTAGAGCAACCTCCAGAGAGAGGGGTTAAATCCAGCTCCTCACAACTGAGCAGCAGGAGAGCGGAGGCCGGAGCAGCTCCAGGCTCCTTTAAACGGCACAACGCAGGGCAACCCACAGCCCTGGACCAGGAGCTCTGGGGCAGGGACAGACCAGAAATTAAACCATTTTGCTTCTGAGTAGAAGCCAGACATTAACTGATCAGTGCCATGGAAGGAAGAGAGCCTTTGCAATGCCGTTAAACTCTCCCACCCCTCTTAGACACCCCAAAGGGGATGAGGGATGCTCTTCTCCCCACACCCTGATCTTACCTGGGGCTGCTCAGACTTTCCCCGCGGATCCCTCTTCGGCCGGGCAGCATCACGGCTCCAACCAGCAAAGACAACTTTGCAAGAGAGAGTAGAAAATCACCCCTACGCTTCGCAACGAGGGAGGTTTCCTCGCTGGGTCTGAGGTTGGCCTTTGGGCACCAAGCTGTGCGAGCCTGCACGTGTCCGTGGGCTCAGCTCACCACGATACCTTCATTTAAACTTGCTTAAAATAGCTCCATCCCCCCTGAGCTGCTTGGGCAGGGTTTAGCCTCTTTAGCTGAGGAGCTGCTGGGAATCCTGGGCTGTATTTTTATACCTGCTTCACCTCAGGAAGATGCTGCTGCTGCCGCCTGAGCAACCCCCATCAGCTCAGCTGAAAACCCCCAGACCCCCCTCCCAGCTCCCTTCCTACGCAGGGGAATTTGCTGATCAGACAAAACTGGGGAACTGCCCCAAAACTGGGGCACAGACACCTGTGACTGTGCAGGTCCATTAAAATTTTGGTGCCTTGGAGCCTCCAGCCCTCCTCCTCCTCCCTCATCTCCATGCCAAAGCCCTCAGGGCACCAGCGAGCTCAGCCTTAGCCCAGGAGCTGCAAAAAACTGGTTTTCTGAATTCCATGTGAAACCTGACTGTTCCCTTATCTTCATTTTTAAAGTGTGGGGTTT